TATAACGAAAAATCACTTCCGGTCAGAAGTTATCGCCCTGATCGATTTTTACATAGACCTTGTGTCTGCACAAAAACTCAAGAACGACAAATGCTAGAGTGTTGAAACTTTCAGTGGTGATAGAGGACATGTTCTAGATGTGCACCTTGGTTTTCAAATTTTCCGGAAGTGCGAAGTATGGAAGCTCGGTAGGGGTCGAAATTTAGGACGTGATTTATGAGTGAATTTTAGAGACATTTCTTATAATAACATTTTAAATAGAAGTATTTTGTTATAACATTTTGAACAAAAAGTCTTCAAAATCAAAAGACCTTTTATTTGATATCAAGGAAAAGGGGCTGACTCCTCAAATTAGGGGCTCAGAAGGGCCAAAAGTTTTTCATCTATAACTTTTTAATGATCAATATTTTGTTATAAATTACTGAACCAAAAATGTTTATCTTAACCTTCTGCAACTATACATTATAAAATTTTGATCATATGTTACGTAATAAGGGGCCATAAGGGGCCAGAATGCTAAATCTTTGAGATTTTATATCTCGAAAAGGGGAAATATTTTGATAAGCAATATTGAACAAAAGATGTTCAGAATAATGTTCTAAACAATATACACCCTTTCAATTTTTGCAGGACATCCCCATTAAGGACTTGGAGGGCTGGCCCCTAAATATTGTTATTCTATATATCTCTTAAACGAAAGGAAATTTCTGAATAGTTGTTGAACAAAAAGTCTTCAAAATCAAAAGACCTTTTATTTGATATCAAGGAAAAGGGGCTGACTCCTCAAATTAGGGGCTCAGAAAGGCCAAAAGTCTTTCATCTATAACTTTTTAATGATCAATATTTTGTTATAAATTACTGAACCAAAAATGTCTATCTTAACCTTCTGCAACTATATATTATAAAATTTTGATCATATGTTACGTAATAAGGGGCCATAAGGGGCCAGAATGCTAAATCTTTGACACATTATATCTCGAAAAGGGGAAATATTTTGATAAGCAATATTGAACAAAAGATGTTCAGAATAATGTTCTAAACAATATACACCCTTTTAATTTTTGCAAGACCTTTCATTTGCTATCAAGAAAAAGGGGCTGACCCCTCAAACTAGGGGCTTAGAAGGCTTAGAAACTTTATAATGTTCAATATTTTGTTATAAATTACTGAAGCAAAAATGTTCATCTTAACATTCTGTAACTATATATCATAAAACTTTGATCATATCTTCAAAATAATGGGCCAAAAGGGGCCAGAATGCCAAATCTTTGACACGTCGAACAAGGGGAAATATTTTGATAAGCAATGTTGAACATAAGATGCTCAGAATAATGTTTTAAACAATATGCATCCTTTCACTTTTTATAGACGAATATCTCAGTCAAGGTCTTGACTAATCTTATCCAAAATCAGACGGAAGACCCACTCGTTGCTCGCAACGAGAACCATCTAGTTATTACTTTTATTCTTTTTTTTCTTACAAAATTTGTGCAGACGATTTCTCGGAGATGGCTCTTTCGATTTTATTCAAATTTTCATGGTAGATGCGTTGACATCTGAAGTTAATTCTGGCAATATCGTTTTTTGAAAATTACTTCCGGTCGGGAGTTATCGCCCTTTTATTAAAATTCAGAGGACCTCCTTGTCTGCAATGGAACTCAAAAATGGCTTAAGCTAGAGCGCTGAAATTTTCAGTGATGATAGAGGACATGTTGCCATATTGCACCTGGGTTTAGATATTTTCCGGAAGTGCCTAGTATGGAAGCTCGGTAGGGGTCGAAATTTAGGACACGAATCATGAGTGAATTTTTCTGACATTTTGTATCATATCTTTTAAAGTATAATTATTTTGTTAAAACATATTGAACAATATTTGTGCAGAATAAAAAGATCTGTAACATGGTATCAAGAAAAAAGGGCTGACTCATCACATTAGGGGCCGATAAGGGCTGAAAGTCTTTAATCGATAACTCTTAAACAAGCAATATTTTTGTATACATTACTGAAGGAAAATTATTTATCTTAACAAACTACAACTATATATTATGATTTTTTCGTCATATGTTACATAAATAAGGGCAACAAGGGGCCAGAATGCTTAATCTTTGATGCTTTATATCTCGAAAAAGGGAAACATTCTGAAAAGCAATATTGAACAAAAGTTGTTTAGAATGATGATCTGAACAATGTGCATCCTTTGAATTTTTGCTAAACAGCCCCTATAAGGACTCAAATGGACGGCCCCTAAATATTTCAAGTCTACATATCTCGAAAACGAAACGAAACTTCTGAATAGTTGTTGAACAGAAAGTCTTCAGAATTACAAGACCTTTCGAGTGATATCAAGAAAAAGGGGTTGACACCTCAAATTAGGGGCTCAGAGGGGCCAAAAGTCTTTCATCTATAACTCCTTAACGTTAAATATTTTGATATTAATTATTGAAGCAAAAATGTTCATCTTTACAATCTGCAACTATATATCTTAAAATTTTCTTCAAATATTACTTAATTAGGGGCCCTAAGTGGCCAGAATGCTTAATCTTTGAAGCTTAATATCTCGAAAAGGGGAAACATTTTGAAAAGCAATATTGAACAAAAGTTCTTTAGAATGATGATCTGAACAATGTGCATCCTTTGAATTTTTGCTAAACAGCCCCTATAAGGACTTAAAAGGACGGCCCCTAAATATTTCAAGTCTGCATATCTCGAAAACGAAACGAAACTTCTGAATAGTTGTTGAACAAAAAGTCTTCAGAATTACAAGACCTTTCATGTGATATCAAGAAAAAGAGGCTGACCTCTCAAATTAGGGGCTCAGAGGGGCCAAAAATCTTTCATCTATAACTCCCTATAATAACGTTAAATATTTTGATATTTAATATTGAAGCAAAAATGTTCATCTTTACAATCTGCAACTATATATCCGAATTTTTTTTTCAAATATTACTAATTAGGGGCCATAAGGGGCCAGAATGCTTAATCTTTGACGCTTTATATCTCGAAAAGGGGAAACATTTTGAAAACCAATATTGAACAAAAGTTGTTTATAATGATGATCTGAACAATGTGCATCCTTTGAATTTTTCCTAAACAGCCCCTATAAGGACTTAAAGGGACGGCCCTAAATATTTCAAGTCTACATATCTCGAAAACGGAACGAAACTTCTGAAAAGTTACTGAACAAAAAGTCTTCAGAATTACAAGACCTTTTAAGTGATATCAAGAAAAATGGGCTGACCCCTCAAATTAGGGGTTCAGAGGGGCCAAAAGTCTTTCATCTATAACTCCTTAACGTTAAATATTTTGATATTAATTATTGAAGCAAAAATGTTCATCTTTACAATCTGCAACTATATATCTTAAAATTTTCTTCAAATATTACGTAATTAGGGGCCATAAGGGGCCAGAATGCTTAATCTTTGAAGCTTAATATCTCGAAAAGGGGAAACATTTTGAAAAGCAATATTGAACAAAAGTTCTTTAGAATGATGATTTGAACAATGTGCATCCTTTGAATTTTTCCTAAACAGTCCCTATAAGGACTTAAAGGGACGGCCCCTAAATATTTCAAGTCTGCATATCTCGAAAACGAAACGAAACTTCTGAATAGTTGTTGAACAAAAAGTCTTCAGAATTACAAGACCTTTCATGTGATATCAAGAAAAAGAGGCTGACCCCTCAAATTAGGGGCTCAGAGGAGCCAAAAATCTTTCATCTATAACTCCTTATAATAGCGTTAAATATTTTGATATTAATTATTGAAGCAAAAATGTTCATCTTTACAATCTGCAACTATATATCCGAAATTTTTTTTCAAATATTACTAATTAGGGGCCATAAGGGGCCAGAATGCTTAATCTTTGAAGCTTTATATCTCGAAAAGGGGAAACATTTTGAAAACCAATATTGAACAAAAGTTGTTAAGAATGATGATCTGAACAATGTGCATCCTTTGAATTTTCCCTAAACAGCCCCTATAAGGACTTAAAAGGACGGCCCTAAATATTTCAAGTCTACATATCTCGAAAACGGAACGAAACTTCTGAATAGTTACTGAACAAAAAGTCTTCAAAATTACAAGACCTTTTAAGTGATATCAAGAAAAATGGGCTGACCCCTCAAATTAGGGGTTCAGAGGGGCCAAAAGTCTTTCATCTATAACTCCTTAACGTTAAATATTTTGATATTAATTATTGAAGCAAAAATGTTCATCTTTAGAATCTGCAACTATATATCTTAAAATTTTCTTCAAATATTACGTGATTAGGGGCCACAAGGGGCCAGAATGCTTAATCTTTGAAGCTTAATATCTCGAAAAGGGGAAACATTTTGAAAAGCAACATTGAACAAAAGTTGTTAAGAATGATGATCTGAACAATGTGCATCCTTTGAATTTTTCCTAAACAGCCCCTATAAGGACTTAAAGGGACGGCCCCTAAATATTTCAAGTCTGCATATCTCGAAAACGAAACGAAACTTCTGAATAGTTGTTGAACAAAAAGTCTTCAGAATTACAAGACCTTTCATGTGATATCAAGAAAAAGAGGTTGACCCCTGACAATTCAGAGTGTAAATAATGGCCTAACAATTAGTATGTAAAACGTCAGTCAGCATTTGACTCAATGATAAATTTTATTTGCTGACAAGGTCATTGTATCGACCATAGAACGTACGAAATGATGACTTTAAACGAGACAGCTGATATTCTTGTTTCATCATCTTATTTGTCAATAATTTACTTCGTTTTAGAAATTGTACATACGTAAAGCATGCTCTTGCGTATCGAATCAACTGAGAGATATATACCCCGTATGCAGGTGATATCTTGTTTAAGTTCTTGTCTTTTTTATGACCCATGTTCTATATGCACTTACAAAATTAATTATTAATTATGGACGTCCTTATTGTAAACTTTCTAGATCGCCAACAAATGCAACGTAATTTTTCAATTAATTTGTGGATATTTTAGAATAAAATACGCAACTTGTATTATTCAAGATATGACTTACATGTACCGCGGATATGGTTACGTGGTGGATTCCTGTCCCACCAGTGAGACAGAGTTTATCAGAGCTGCTACCAGACTAAACTGTGGAGTGGACGAGTATGGGCGTAGTCAGTACACCTGTGTCCCTAACGAAGACAGATCTGCTCTTGTAGAATTCTGCTACAGCAAAATAGTCGGGTTTTATCAAAAAGGTAAACAAAAGTGTATGTAAAAGTTACTTTAAAGTAGCAGAATGAACATGTATTTTTCGTTTGTCCAAGTATGTTCAATTCTGTATCTTACAACTCAGAAATAGGTAAAATTAAAAACAAAAAACATGTTAAAAATACATCAAACTTTTATAGGATAAAATTTAATAAATCCAAAAATACTAAATATATATCAGACAAATTAGATTCTGTAAATTTAAAACAATTAAAACAATATGCTTTATTCAAGTTGCATATTGATAGAAACCTGAATGATAGTTTACTGAAATCTCTCAGTGTGATAATCGAATTGATCATTTACATTGATTCATTCTTTTTTTAAAATAAGGACATTGCTTGGTAACAACTGGAAATGGAACATTAGATCAAATCAGTTGTCATCACTTTAAAACTGGATGCCCAGAAGAAAATTTTCGAGGAACTGGCTTATACAAATGTTTGTATTTTATTATTTTTTGAGCAGATTTCTGAATACAAATCTTGATTATTCAGGAATATTAATTTCGTTTTTGTTTAGTTTCAGCTTGCAGTAGAATCAACGCAGAAATGCAATGTTTTTATGCAGATCCATCATGTTCGAACACGTAAATTTTCAAATTAAATACTTTTTAGAATAATATTTAAGTATAAATATTATTAAAAATATTTTTTTTTTTTAAATTGATTAATTTTGAATATCTATTTCCAGAGTCATTAATGTTTCCAACACGTTTCTGGAGACAATATTCATATATATTATATATTTGCAAGTCATAATTTAGTTCTTTTATCTTGATTTAAGAAAAAAAATATATCTTTTTAATAAAAATCTAAATTCTTAAATACCAGTGCTGAAAGTCAAGAATTAAGCGGTGAAGGAGTAACCATTGTTCTTCCCAGCGATGAATCATACTTTTCTTATCGAGATCTATAATTGACACCCATAAACTTTTGTTAATTATAGGACAAAATCTAATACTTTTGATGAAAGTACAACGGCCGACTTTCTGAATATCACAACCAATACCACGATGAAAATGATGACCACAGAAACTAGTGCAGTAAGTCAAGAATCCGCCGATATAGGAGTGATCATTGGAAGTATCTTTGTTTTTCTACTTCTACTGTCCGTATTTTTTGTCATTATATTCTTGAGAAGGAAATTAAGAAGAAGATATACAGAAGTTCCATTGGAGATTGGTACGTCGGCAATATACCGAGAATCTTTTTTTCAATTTACTGTTAAAGTTTGTAGCATTTTCTAACTTTTTCTTTAATATTTTAGAATCTAATTTTTGGATGATTAAGAACGTAATGTGTATATATTTATCTAACCACACCAAAAAAAAAAAATAAAAGATACATATTTGTAAAAAAAAAAAAAAAAAAAAAAAAAAAAAAAAAAAAAAAAAAAAAAAAAAGATGAAAAAGAACTAACCTGATACAATTTTGTTCTAACTTATCTAAAACTGCATTATACAAATTTTCATTATTTCGTAGGCAAAATTAGACTTAATCAACATGTTTTTATAATTTCTTTGTTTGTAAAACGTAAACGTCAAATTACTAATTAAAATTTCAAACTTTGAGATGTTAAGATCTACCACGATTTGAAATATATTAATTTTTTTTGGGCAAATCAATAAGGGAAAAAAATGTCGTGGACAATAGCTACATTCTGTTTGAAATATTGACTTCTAGCTGGAATTAGAAGCAAGAAATATACAAGAAAGGAAATTGAAACACTGAAATAATATATATTGCTTGCTAAATACCGCTTTCTTTTCTTTGTAGGGTTTGTAGCTAATTCTGTTGGTGAATATAGTGTGTGGAAAACGCCTATTTCTGGTAAGGAACTGAAGTCATTTTCTTTTTTATTATAAGAATAACTAATAAAAGGGGCCTAGACACAGATTAAAGTAAATTGTTCAGTATTGTTTATTGAATTATACGTTGTTGGAGCATTTCACTCCAAACAATCATAAAAGTGTAACCCCGAAAGAGATGTCTTTAGATGTTTGAGAAGAAGTAAGTGATTCGGAACATATTACATGTGATTTTAATTAGATTGCTATAATATTTTAGAAAAATTAATGAAGTATTTATTCGTTATAATAATAACAATAAAAAAAGATAAATCTTTTATTCAAAAAAAAAAAAAAAAAAATTAAAGGAGAAAGTTGTGAATGCGAAAACATGTCATTATTATTCTCAGTCTATGCTCAGTGATGTGTGCAGAAAAAAAAAATAACAAACCCGGTAAAAAGTAAATATTAACAATGACAGAGTCCGTGTCCATGTTTACAAATGCAGGTGTCTGACGTGATGTTATGAAGAATGTTTATGCTATTGAATTTTAAGATTGTTTTCATTTAAACTCAACCCATTAATCTGAGATTATTTTTTGAATAAAAATAGAATCTAAATTTAAAAAAAAAGGACAACGCAACTGTGTCCAGACCCCTTTATCTTTTTTTTTTATTCATCGATAATTGAACAAAAGATAATCCATCGCGCACGTATGAAAGCTAAATATACATGTAACAAGCGAACGCACGCACGTATGTGATCCTATAATAAAGAACAGAATCGCACACACTTATGACAGGCAAATGTAAGAAACGAATCACACACACTTACGAAAACGGAGGGCTCTGAAAGTATGTAGTTCGTCTTTTTTATATTCATTCCGAGATGAACAAAATAATTTATTTCTAATTAATGTATATAGTCGATACTTATGATTCAATTTCATTTTAAATATGATACTTTTTACATACAAACTCTTCTTTACAAACATAGGAAAATATGCACTAAGGCTAAAAATGGGTAGCTGCGTAAAAATAAATTTCGATTGGTTGTGCACAGTTTATAGGAAACAGATCCACAAGCTTTCGGCACAAGATATCAGCCATTAACTCTTTTTGAACGATATTTACATGTATTACAACGAACTACGGACAAAGAGTGAATACATGGCTATGTTAAGCAAAGATAACCCTTCTGAAATTTTGAAATTCATGGCCCTGGCGTCTGGGATTTTAGTGTAGGAGTGGGGCTGCCCAATTGAATATACTGTGAAAAAGCATTTTTTTTTTTTTTTTTTTTTTTTTTTTTTTTTTTTTTTTTGAAAATCATCTCTGCTCCTGGGTTTTAGCAGATAAAAACTAAATGCGTTGTAATACTAAGCAAGGATGCCTCTTTCAAAATATTGAAATTCAATGGCCCAGGATTAGGCTTTCTGATGTTAAAGGGGGGCTCTATTGATTATATGTTGAAAATGCATAAATTCTTTGATTAAAAAAAAATTCTCAGCTCCTGGGTATTAGGCAATCAAAGAAAGAAAATATGCTGATAAGCAAGAGGGCATCTTCCAATATTGTAAAATTCATGACCTCTGGGTCAGGAATTCTGGTGTTAGGGTGAGATCTATTCATTGTATAATAAAAATGCATTTTTAAAAGAAAATCTTCTCTGCCCCTGGGTATTTAACAATCAGAGTAAGTGCATGGGTATGCCTCTTCCAGAATTATGAAGTCCATGGCCGCAGGGTTAGGGGTTCTGGTATTAGGATTGGGCTCTATTAATTATATGAAAATATGCATAATTTCCTTGAAAATCCTAGTTATAATGAGCAAAGGTATTTGTACTAGATTTATAAAATTCTTGAACATTTGGTCAAGTGTTATTTTGCTGGGAAGGCTCTAATGTTATTGCAGGGAAAGCTTTTGCTATTTATTTACAATACATAATATGCATTTATAATGTGATAGGTCAAATTTAATGCATTATAGTCATGTAACAGGTAGGGCACTTGGGTCCTTTGCCTTTATAAAAAAAAAACCACCTTATCCGAAATAATCTTAAATTACTTTTCGACATAAGTTTTAAATTGATCCTGAGGCAAAGTTCATTAAAAAAATGTCATTATTCTATTAACTTGCCATCATAAGATATGATAAATATTTTCGATATTTCAACGTTTTCTTGTTTTAAATTGTTGTTCTCAAACTTAAATATGGATATAAAGAACAACAATCAAGCTCAGAAGTTCTTTGAAAGGGTACGAATTGGGAGCAGAGCAAACACGGACCACCAAAAATATCATAGGTAGGATCAGGTGCCATGGAGTAGTGTAGCATCCGCTGTTGACCCGTCATATGCACCCTGTGTTCTTTGTCATGATCGAGCATACGGAAAATCCGTAGACTACCAAATTTAATGCATTATAGTCATGTAACAGGTAGGGCACTTGGGTCCTTTGCCTTTATAAAAAAAAAAACCACCTTATCCGAAATAATCTTAAATTACTTTTCGACATAAGTTTTAAATTGATCCTGAGGCAAAGTTCATTAAAAAAATGTCATTATTCTATTAACTTGCCATCATAAGATATGATAAATATTTTCGATATTTCAACGTTTTCTTGTTTTAAATTGTTGTTCTCAAACTTAAATATGGATATAAAGAACAACAATCAAGCTCAGAAGTTCTTTGAAAGGGTACGAATTGGGAGCAGAGCAAACACGGACCACCAAAAATATCATAGGTAGGATCAGGTGCCATGGAGTAGTGTAGCATCCGCTGTTGACCCGTCATATGCACCCTGTGTTCTTTGTCATGATCGAGCATACGGAAAATCCGTAGACTACCTAATATTAAAATTAAAAAAAAAATGTATGAAAAACTACAGTCAGCATTTGACTGAATGATAGACTGTATTTGTTGATAAGGTAAATTCATCGAACATAGAATTTTCAAAAAGTCGAATTTGAACGAGACTGTTGATATCCTTGTTTCATCACCTTCTTTGTCAATAGCTTGCCTGGAAGACATACATTCCACAGGATATAAGGGTATTGCTACAGAAGTAAGAGATGTTTACGCTAGAAAAAAAAAATGAAGCAATCACGTTGATCATAAAGATTTGTTGTTAGGTTAACAATAATGACCTTTTCTAGTTTAATATCAAAATGTGAAGCAGACGTGTCAGACTCCATGATATCTTTTATTTCAAGGGCACTAGGATATATCTAGTCGACATATGAATGGAAGTAAAAATGTAAATTAATTATACATCGTCGATGTATCTGAATGTCGAGTTGAAGACCAAAACAATTGTTTTCTTCTTCTCAAGTAGAAGTTTTTTTAAATAAATTTTGTTTCATAGGAATTCAAAAATATGTTTGCTAATAAGAGACGAAATTGGTACCCCCAAATATTTTTTTATTTGAATCGATACGTCTAACAACAGCTTATATGTTAAATTGTTTCTGTTTTATTGTAATTTTTTTTAACAAATTGCGCCTTTGGAAATAGTTTTCCCCTGAATTTGGAGGGAGAAGTTTATACCTCTACTACGCATGTTATTATGTCATGTTCATTTCGGCAAATTAGTGTTAGGAACACACAATTTTAACATTCGTTCATTTGTATTTTTTAATTGTACGTATTTGTGACGGATTAAAAAAAAAAAATATTAGGAAATATTATTTAAATTAGTCTTCAATGATAACTAGATTTTAATATTAAATCCGTAGAGCATGTCTTAAAATTTTGCGTTAATTTCGATGCAAAATATAATAACACAAAAAGAAGAAATCCCAACAAAGTGTGT